CACGCCACGATATCTTGCATGAGTACAGTACCACGCCAACATATCTTTCATGAGTACAGTATCACGCCAAAATAATTCAAAATATGTCCGTATAAAATTATCCTGTTTGACGAAATATATACACACAAGTCTCAGTTCACCAATTATATGTTAGTTTTCCATACATCGTGTCTAATAATCCCAAATCACTAAAGCTTCTGAGTGTTTGTTACTCTAATGAATTAATCAACATGATCAATATTTATGGCTATATTAACCTGTGATGAACCCACTGAATTGTTGGTATAATACAACACAAATACCCTTATAAACACAGTATTTTTTGGAAGTATTGTCATGAGTAGAAAAGGAGACGTGTATGATAAGGCCTATGCTTATGTAATGTGATAATGTGTGGCTATTTTCAATTATACAATAATAAGCAAGTAGGGCCTTAAAGGATAACCCGTGGTTTTTGCATGATCTAAGGATTTTTTTCTTCCTTAAAGAAATAAACCGCTGTCCATTATTCAATTAGAAAACCGTAGGACCTTTTGTTCCTGTGGAGTTCCCACACATAATCCCTCCTAATTACACCTCCTCTGCGGACTGTGTCGGCATGTAAAGACTGCCCTTGATTGACATCTCTCCGACCCTCCCGCTAGTCGTCTCACACCTGTTGGTTACACTTTTAGAGAATCCGACCGGCACGGTGCCAGTTTAATCCAGTTCAACCAGTCAGACGTAGTTTCCGCTCCGTTTCAAAAGGGCCCGTTGACCTGAATCTGTGGCACAGAATGACACCGCATGGTAAACAACACGGACAAATACAAACACATTGTTTGTTGAATCCATATGAGAAATGTACCGCATGGTCTCTGAGATTCAATGAAAGGCGTGGAGTTGTCTTTATCATCAAACAACATTTCTGTTTACATTCTGTGCTACTCACCCAGAGGGATTGTGTGTGTGTGTGTGTGTGTGTGTGTGTGTGTGTGTGTGTGTGTGTGGGTGTGTGTGTGTGTGTGTGTCCTAACAATAGGTGAGGAAAGCACGTTCTTCCTCATGAAGAGTTACCACCTGTAGTTCAGAGGTTTCATGGTGTGAAACCATTGGCAGGAATATGCATTGTCACCTGCATGCTTGTGAGTGTCGTCGTTCACATGCAAAAAGACACAAATAAAACCACTGATAATAGCCGAAAGAGTTTTCAAAGAAACTCTTCTGGGTACCTTAAAGCGCAGCACAGCAGCCCAACTTCAACCTGAGCAGAGACAAATTAAAAAACACTAATTCAAAATGCTGTCATATCTTGTGAAACCATGTGTAGGCAATGGTGACCTTACCTCTTGATTTATTACCTCAGTAAACATTGTAAACATGAGTTTATGGTCTCAATCTCTAGTTTCAAGTCTTCTTCAATACAGCATGATGTTCATTTAGTACATTATGGTCCATTTAGAGTCACACAGACCATAAAGCAGGGGATGCTTTAGGGCGGGGCTACACGGTGATTGACAGATTGTGTCTTTGTATGCCACTCCACACTTTCTGAAAGAATAAGTTACAAAACTAAAAACACGATTGCTTTGAATAAGTGAGCTTTTTGTAGGATTTGCATCCTTTTTCTTTCTAGCTTGACGGTAGTTTAAAGATTACAATCTGTTGCTTTGTTTAAAAAATGTCCAACCACACTGAACTGTTTCGACACATTCACAGAGAACATAACAGCAGCGTGACGTTGTGCTTCCTCTTGACATTGGCGTTTACTCTTGAGCCTGCTCTTATCCCCACCTTCCTCCTCCTCGCTGCCACTTCCCTTTTTGCCTTTTTAAAGATATGAGGGAAAGAGGCCATCTATTTCGAGGCCGTAATAATTCAGGAAGGGGGGCTAATGTTTGCCGCGGCCTCAGGGGAGGCAGATTTAGACGGCCAATAGAACCCCGTCACACCCACCCTCCTCTTCCTCTCTCTTTCTATTGAGTCAGTGGTTTGGGCTTGCCAGAGGCGAGCATAATGGTTCCCAGTGTCTGGAGAGATTAAAGGCCAGAGCTGCATTGTTCAAATGCCCCGAGATTAGTTTCCAAGGAGACGGGCCTCAGTTGCCATGAGAACATGGTGCCTGGTTTTTCAGCCGGGCATGTTTTCCTTTAACGGTTCCTATCTGTTTGCCTCCGTACTCACATCTACATAGTCCGCCCTGTTCTCTGGAGTTTAGGGGATTCTGTTTTTTCGACAGGAAGCTCACACCGAGGTGCGCTTGCACGCCAGTGGTTGTGGAAACTTATCTCGGTCATCTGAAGTCGGTGTGTCTCTCTTTCCTGTGCCATCTGTCAAGAGATCAGACAGCACAGTGTAAAGAGGCTCATTTGACATCATGTGAGGGCTCTAATTAGCCCCCAAATGACCAACAGAAGACCAGATGGATTTGCGTTTCAGCCACGCTAGCGGCGTGGCTCTAGGGATGTCGGTCGGTCGATAACTTCGCTCCAGACTTGAATATCTCCGCAACTGTTTGATGGACAAGCAGCTCAAAGTTTCCACTCATCCAGTCCAAATGATCTCAAGTCTTGCACAGACATTTGTGGTTCACAGATGATGAATCCTAATGTCTTTTAGTGACCCCGTGACCTTTCCTCTAGCGCCACCATGAGATTGACGGTTGTGGTTGTGAGTGGAAATGTCGCAACAGCTGGATATGCCAAGTTGTCATTTTGAGCATGTTAGCGTGATGCTGACCGCATTAGCTTGGCTGTACAATCTGTCTTTTTAGTGACTGAGATATGCATCCTTAAGATAAGAAAAAAGAAGCTTGCACCCTTTTCTTACCTCAATCATCTCTCAGCCTCCAGTATCAGATCCATGTACGCTTACATTTGCTTAAAGTCAAACCAAGTGATGTCAGCAGAAACTGCTTTGACTGCAGGTCACTGCTGTGACGTGAACTTGAATGCATGCGCACGTACAGGTGTTGTGCAATGTCCCGCTGTGGCCTGCTGCCTAAACCGTGTTCATCTGGTCCTCCACAGAGGAGGCATGGCTCAGATGAGGAAGCTGGCATGCGACGGCGTCAGGACGAACTCCCGGGGGGGCGACCCGCAGGCCCAGCCGGTGTCGGCCCGACAGGAGATCCTCACCAGCCTGGTGTCTGCCCTCGACTCGGTGGTACGTATGTCCCGGTGTGTCAGCTCTTTATGGACATCTTCTTCTGTGGTGTCAAGATTATCCACAGCTATTAGCAAATTCTTGAAAATCCACTCTGAAACATGCTAATAACGGGCTACATTTCGTGTTAGTGTGAATATGCATTTTAAATGTATAATATGAGTGTGAGAGTAACTTGTTCCAATCTAGTGCTGCAACTAATGATTGTTTTGATTATCTGTAGATTATAACTTTGATTAATCGAATATTAATCAGATGAAAAAACTTTTATTTTTAGCTACATCTCTTGGATGAAAATGAAAAAGTGAAACGTTTATTATTCTGATATTTGATCAGATATTGCTTTATTGTTTCAGTTGTGAAGATTTCAAGGATTCACTTCTGACTGATGGCACGAAATATTCCACTAACTCCATAATGTTACGTTGTGGACAGCTTCCACAGGGGGCCATGTTTACTTCCTGTCAGCTGATGTCATTCACATAAAAACTGGGACACATTGGGAACGTTTACGTTTGCAACCGTGTGTCTCTCCAACCTAATTTCAGCTAATTAGCGTAAACTGAATATGCCGTCTCCCGCAGATTTGTCTTTTTTAGACAGACAAATGCACAATTGTAGATTAATTTAATTAGGGACCTAAGTTCTGCAGAGTGAAGTCAATGCTTCATGTCTTAAAGCGACTCCTCTGGTTGTATAGAAGTCTATGAGAAAATGACTCTACTTCTCTCTTGATTTATTACCTCAGTAAACATTGTAAACATGAGTTTATGGTCTCAATCTCTAGTTTCAAGTCTTCTTCAATACAGCATGATGTTCATTTAGTACATTATGGTCCATTTAGAGTCACGCAGACCATAAAGCAGGGGATGCTTTAGGGCGGGGCTACACGGTGATTGACAGGTCTCTACTGCGTCTCTACGTCACTCCTCCTCAGTCCAAATATGGTCACTTCCTGTTCACTGGTTGCAAAAGCCAAGATTGTGACGACTAAAACGCTGAATTTTAATCCTTAAAACATCAGTCCACAAACCAATGTGTCTGTGATCATAACATAGACCCAACTAATCGATGAGCAACTTTGTTGTTGACTATTTTTCTATTAGATTTGAATCAATCTAATTGAGTTGTTGCAGAGAATCAGAATGCAGCTCTTCTAGCTCCTCAGTTTTCTCAATGATCTCTTTGAGTTCTGACGTCGTCCTCAGAGTTTTTGGTATTGACTCGTGACTAAACGACGCCTCCTTGTCTTTGCAGTGCATGGCCATGTCCAAGCTCAACGCCGAGGTGGCGTGCGTCACCGTGCACGAGGACAGCGTGATAGCCGTCGGCACAGAAAAGGGCCGAGTGTTCCTCAACTCCAGGAGGGAAATCCAAACAGACTTCTACAAGTTTTGCCGTGAGTCCTGCTCTCCTGTGTTGCATGTTGTTTTCCATTCTTCACTCTTTGATTGAGCATTGATCACTCTCATTGTAGCCTTTTTTTTTGCAGTTTTTGTGATCGCACAAATGCAGATTCAGCCAAAAGTTAAGGAGGTTCAGTTAATGTTCCTTCTTGTTGCATATAGAGGTTAATATCAGAGCGCTTTACACACACTGTCTCACACACCGATTCCAGAGTACCACTTACCCAAATTGTAAGCCTTCATATCCTGTAAACAAACTAGTATGCAAGTTTGTAAGCTGAGCCGTATTTCAGATATCAACCTGTGGACCTTGAGCGCTGAATTGAAACAGCAAATCACACTCTCGGACTCGGTTTCGAGGGGTCGTGACCTCCCGTTACGCAGTTGTAGTTTTATTAGGCTGGTTAGTCAAGGTTAAATGAGTTCCAGTTTGTTTTTGGTAAAGAAGGAGAATGGGAATAAATGATTTGTTTAGGTTTCAGGTAGTTGACCCTCAGAGAAGTATTTGCACCGAGTGGCTTCACCAAATGTTGGAGATGCTTTTGCATTTATCCAAACACATTGCAGGACAAACATGTCAATCATATTATATGGCAACATTTTTCAAAAGGTGACGTATTTATTACATTTGGGGCACCAGATTCTCAATCCGTCCTGGCTGTGACTTTGTTAGGGACAGGAAGTAGTGAGGGAAGCTAAATGTTCTTTATTTTAAATCCTCTTGCATCTGAAATTTACAAGATGTGATTTTGGTGTTTTTGGCTCTAAGGGGGGCCGTGTCTGCAGAATCTGACCACAGCTAATGCCCATACCAAAGACCAGGAAGCAGAGCTCAGCAAGCCGAGTAAAGATGGTGAGCTCGGGAAATCAAGAGCTCCATCGGACGCTCAGTCCAACATCTTTGTTCTGAGGAAGATGGTGGAGGAAGTCTTCACTGTACTCTACAGTAAGGAGTCACCGAGTGCAACAGTTGTCCTTTTGATGCCATAAACCCTGTTCATGAATCATGATGCCCCCCGAAACTCGGTTCTGAACGGGAACTGGTTCCAAATTAGTTTAAACCCGGAGATAAGGTCCGGAGTTCGCGTTCTATTGACTCTTTTCTTGATTAATTGTCTTTTTTTCTTACAAAATAATCCAAAAGTACCTTTAAGAGTATCGATAAGGAACCGAACTTCATCATAACATCTAACGTCATCGACCTAAAGGATCAAAAGCAAAGATTTATCTTACCCAATTATAACTGTTATTAGTTATGGAAGAACAGAGCAGAAGTCTTTTACTTTTAGGTTTTATTCTGACAGTTGTAATTTAATAGAAGATATATTATAAATTACAAGCGTTGCAACATTCTGTGAATATTTAAAGTGGAAACTTCCCATGAGAATTAATGGGATTTAAAAAGAATAAAAATATGCTACAAGACGGTATCTGCTCTCAGCTTATTAGCAAACAGAATACAGGCTACTGCAGCCAAAAGCTAAAACCTAGCTTAAAGGCTACAACCTAGCAGAAGGTGTAAGGCTACTGTCTGCTGGTTAACTGAAGTATCATAAGAAATATAAAATATGTTCTCTCCAGTTATTACAACGTACATGATGACGTGTAGGTCTTTGGCTCTGACAGTGCAGTAGTGTTGGCAGTAGTGTGGCTGCACATGTGATGGGAGTGTGCACTGTGCGTGCAGAGAGTTGTGTTACTGAACTCCTATTCAATGGGATGCTGGCAAATGATCTGTACATGTGATGGAAGAGTGCTGCTGAATGCAGTGCATGGTTACAATCCAGTTAAATGGACTTTTTGGGGCCTGGTATTGATTTCTATGTGTATTTTCCAAAATTGCATTTTGCAAAATACCCCAGCTTAACTTCCTTCGGAAGAGCTTTGCAAGTCTCCAAAGTGCTCACAGTGCATTGTGCAATATTCAGGTGAGGCTGTGGGGAAGAGCAGCCTGGTCCCTGTGCCTTATGAGTGGATCCAGAAGGACCCCGGCTGTGTGGCGGCCCACGGTTTGCCTGAAGGAGTCGCCCTGAAGAAGCCCTCCGAGTACGACACCAAGACGCTGATGAAGATCCTGGAGCAGAGCCACCGCATCCAGTTCACCGCAAAGAGGTGAGTCTGTTACCGCTGTCACATTATGAAACCAGCTGTTTCACATCTCCAGAATGGAGCTTTGCCTCTAATGCTTTGCAGAGATGGATCATGGCTGTCCTGGCTTCTCTTGTGGCTAGTTATTGGTAGCAGAAGGGCTGTATTAGTGCATTAGTGCATTAGTGAGGGATAGACGGGGTTTCTAATTCAGCTGTGGAAAAACACTCTCTAAGGCTACACGTTAGTCTCTCAAGAACTCGTTCAGAGATTTACGTTGATGTAAGTGTTTGTGAACAAAGTCTAAGCCCGGCTAGTGGTCAACTCACCCGTTAGCTTACGTAATAAACGGGTGACAGAAAGGACAGGAGCTGGAAGGTCATGCGGGCACAGTCTTGTGTGGGCGGAGCCTGTTGACAGACAGTGTTGGTATGATGGAAATATACTTTGACCTCGGGCTGATCAAGGTCATCAGATTGTTCCTCAAGACTGAGCACAATATTTTTAACTGATCCAAAGTCAACACTTCATTAAAGCTTAATTTGAGGAACTTCCCCCAAGGACGAGGAACCGTTAGCCCACAGGGACCAGGGTCTAAGTTAAGTTCTGGGGACATTTTACCCCCCAAAAAAGGTTTCTGGTCAGAGGCTGTCCTTTCTGAAACTACAATAATAATAACTTTATTTATATAGCACCTGAAACCAGAGTTTACAAAGTGCTTGTGTAGGAACTTTGACCGTCGCTGCTTCATCTCGTGTACTGTTTATTTCATAAAACAAGGAAGTACTGTGATATTGATTGAGGGGAGAGCATTTCTCCTTAAAGTTAGGCTTTGCGATCAGCTTCCAGACTCATTTTAAGAAAAAGACAGAAAGAACAAAAGAGAGAGATCCTGCAAGAGACAACGTGTCGGTGCTGTGAATCAAGGTTAAAAAGCTTTCTGATTGTTTCACGGCGGATACGTGACTTTTAGCTATTTCTACAATCTAAAGCAGAAATAAATAACCATCAAACACTCAACAGATGATTTAGTGTGGAGACAGACGCCCTCCTCCTGCATCTCATTCATTACTATGTGCATCAGTAAATACTCTGCAGCCGTAAATGTCCGGCAGTGGGACTAAACCAAGGTTTATTTTGTTCCAACGTGTTTTATTTTCTCGATGAAACGGGCGGACACACTGAACCGCAGGCTGCAGAGACAACAATGAGCTGAAGGAACCGTTCAGTTCCATGAAAAGTAGCCCCCGGACTAAAATGATCAGGAACTTCTTAGTGGAAATGAAGCTTTATTGGCTTCCGTGAAACATTCTACATTTACCAAGTCGTTTCTTCTCTGTCTACAGCTTTTAATGGAAGAGGATTATGAACAGTTTGAAAATACATGCAACACAGATGAACTGCTGTTACGAGAGAGACTCTAATTTCTGTTTGGTCTGTTGAGATAGAGAGAGAAAAAACAGTGCAAGTGAAGGGAAAGGGTTGAAATACCAAACAAGCTTTTAATCACTTCTTCTAAAAGTTATCAAGGGAATAATGTTAAATGTGTTCTATATAAAGGAGCTGTTGCTGCGGCATTTAAGCCGAGAGACATTTGGCAAGCGATTCAGTTTGCAAACACAAAGCTTGATGTCAAGCTGTGATGCATGCAACCCTCCAAATGACTTCCTTCTTGGTTCTGTGTCTGCGTACAGGCCAGCAGAGGATCTGCCCCGAGAAGCCAAGCCCTGCACTGATGTCAATCACAACTCTTCCACCGCCGCCATGACACCCAGCAGCCATGCTGCAGGGAAGACCGCCGCCCAGGTCGTCACGTCGCCAAGTCCCGCCTCTTCCAGCAACTCGGTCCTGTCAAACTTTCTGTACGGCATGCCCATGTCCTCCAAACCTCACCCAGATGGCAAGCTGGATTTCAAGCCCATGTCCCTCCTCAACCTGGGCAAGGACAGACTGGCCAACTGGACCGACAAGATGAGCACGTCTGTCAAGGACTGTGCCACCAATGGTAAGATGTACATGTGAGGAGGGCAGGGTTCCACCTGTGGAGTAGGATTTATGGGTGGGGCTTCCACAATCACAGCATTAACAGTGAATACTGGGTGCATTTAAAAAAGATTCCTTTTGTGAGGAGAGGAAAAATTAAAGATTGAGATAACATTCACAATTATGATCATAATGATGATGGAACGTAAAATCTCTATGTGACAAAAATGTATTTCCGACTAAGTGCTTTGTCCTGTGCCTCTGGTGTGCCCTAGAAAAGTGGGACATTTGCATTTCTCTTTGAAGTCTGATTATTATACGGCTCATTATTTCACTCGAAGCAGCACTTTACTTTTATAGCTCATTTCCTTGTTGTACACATATCTCTGGATGAGTCATTTAACTCTCCGCAACCAGTAGTCAGGTGGGCTTACTTACCATCCATCCATCCATCTACCCATCTATCTATCCATCTATCCATCCATCCATCTACCCATCCATCCATCTACCCATC